TTCCTATGACTTACAGACCTCTCAATTTTTGTCATCTGTAGAGACGGAAGATTGAGTCAGAAAATCAACATTAGTCCACGAAAGGGTTTTCAAAACCACTTCGCACAAAGTCATCCGTTTCCGAGAAACGACGGGATGGCAAAATGCGCCCAGATTAACCATCACGCCCTACAGCCCATAAATACCTCAAAAGCCCATAAAAACAGTCGCTCGGTGGAAAGCGTTAAAATTTCTAGTCATAAAACCAAGTCTATATTTTCTCTCGATAATAGATAAATAATTCATTCCGGTAGGGATATTAGGCGTTTGCTTAGTCTGGCGTTGCCAAACCAGCTCAAAGTAGCAGAGGCATTGTCTCGCTATGCAGAAACCGCATATCCACGGTGAAACTGCGCCAGACCGCGACCCAGACTGAACCAGCGCGGAAATTTCCGCAGAAAGCGCCAATTTGAGTTCCTTTTGAGGAATTTAGAATGCCGGATAGCGCGCTCTGTCAAACGGAACTAAGCGCCATTGAAAAGCATTGCGAGTTTAGGACGGAACGAGCCCGGCGCCCGATTCCGCCGCCAATCAAAGCCCCCCTCTACCTTCCTCCCCCTATGGCGCTTAGTTCCGTTTGACAGAAATACGTCCATTTAATCCGAATCGTCTGAAAATTCCAAGGAAGAATGTGCATGAATGTCGCATAAAAAATACATATTTTATCAAGGGTAATATGGCAACTCTCGAATGTTCTTACGGCGTTCCTCCTTCGCACGGCAGCGTGCCTCGTGGCATATTACAGACACGGCAACGTCCCATACGTCGTTTTTCCAGGGCTAGGAAGTTTTACACTGAAAAAAAATTCTCGGCGTTTTTACTAAGGTCCGTTGGTACCTTTACCATCTCACTTTTCTTATCAATTATTGGTAATTTTATCAAGACAGACTGGCAAGCTTACCCAAAAACCGGTATTTTTACTGTTTTTTTCAGGTAAGAATACCACTTTTATTGGTAATCAATTCCCGGTAGCTTTGTCATTTTATTTCGGTAATTCTACCACAGTCGATAAGAAATATTGGCGTTTTTACCAAGGTCCAGTAAAATTACCGAGAAAGTTCAATAATTTTAGCGAGATTTCTCGGTAAGATTACCAATTCCAGGAATGGTAATTTTACCAAGAAAAAACTGGGATCAAATAGAACCCTGAATTCTTGGTAATTTTACCCTTTTCTCAGTAAATACACCGAGATTTTTTTTTTCAGTGTTATGGTCACTCTCGAATGTTCTTACGGCGTTCTTCCTTCGCACGGCAGCGTACCCCGTAGCATATTACAGACCCAGCAACGTCATATACGTCGTTTTTCCAGAGCGAGGACGTTCTATCCCGGACTTGAACAGTCGCGGCAACGGAGCGGGCCGCGTCCAAATTAAAGAGTCGGAATCGGAGGGGCGAACATTCTCACCTCGCCCGATTCCGAGGGCGTTCGTGGATCATTACCCAAATTAGTTTTGTTTACAGAAAAATCAAAATACAAGTGTCTAACTGGAGCCCGGGTCCCGCCTCTGTCGCCTCTTACGATTAGTTTATTAACTGTGTGTACAGTTAATACTCCGGGGCCGCCGCCGGGGCCGCCGCCGGGGCCGGAGGAAGCAAATTACCCGGTCGAGGTGTGGGATAAAAAGAAAAAAAATAAAATAAAATAATAATCCAGGGTTGCGGGTGGTCCGCTGCCCGCGGCGGCCGCCGGGGTGGCGAGAAGGGGCGGTTAATGATACACCTCTTTACAACAATACTCCACGTCCGTGCACCTAGATACATGGCTTCCCCCCGCGGTGTTGCCGATTCCCGCAGTATTAATTATCGAATTCGAGGTGGGGTATGGAGATTTGGCAAGGGTGGTTTCGTTTAATACGTCTTCATCGATCCCGGCTCCTCCCGGAAATCACGGAGTCCTGCGGCCCCTGGCGACCCGCCCCCGGTGGTGCTTATCATTGCCTTTGTTGTGAAATTTTAATTATACAATTCGCTCGGCGGCCATCTTGGGGGAAATTGAAAAACGAGGCTCCCGCCTAAGTGGGACTCGCCGCCGCCAAATGGGTCTGTTAGGGCGGGAGGAACGCTGCCGTACTCAGGAAAAACGCCGTATGAACCTTCAGGCGTTGCCAAATTTCCTTTGATAAAACACAAATTCCCTGATGAAATTGTGAATATTTTCCTTCCAATTTCTCAGATAATTTTGTTTGCAATTTCGCGTATAGTTCCTGAAAATTTCAAGGAAAAACATCCATAACTTTCCTCAAAAATAAACATTTTATCGAAGGAACTTTGGCAACTCTCGAATGTTCATATGACGTTTTTCCTTAGCACAGCAGAACAGGTGGTCTGTACGGGAGATGACTCAAAGATCGTGATGGCCGAATGGGGAAAGTTAAAAATTGGTGTGTTGTGTGCAAGACATACAGTCAATTGCATTACATTTTGCAATAAGGAACCACCATCTCTAGCTCTTTCATAAAAGCACATACCTGCATAAGGAAACCAATGGCATGTATGTTGTTTCTTGAATGGTTCAGAAGTAGTGGTCCCTTATTGCGAAATTTAATCCAATTAGTCGTTTTCCGGATGTTGCTGTGCTAAGGAAAAACGCCGTATAAACCTCCAGACGTTGCCAAATTTCTCTTGTAAAACTCGTATCTCCTGGTAAATTTATGATTATGTTTCTTCCAGTTTATTAGATAATTTTGCTCGCAATTCCACCGAAAAGTCTTGATAATTTCAAGGGAGAATATTCATAACTTTCCTAAAAAATGAGCAATGTGAACGAGAGAAATTTGGCAACTCTCGAATGTTCATACGGCGTTTTTTCTTCGTCGGCACGACAGAATGAGAATGTAATTTTGCAATGCTGACTAAAATTAATAAATTTTTTTTATGAAAAATATGATAATGCAATTTTTGTCCAACTTTCACTGATTTTTGCATGTAGTCCGAAGAGGATTTTTCGATCTTCTTCTAACCAAAAATCTCATGTACGTAATTTTTAGTAAGACAAACAATTCTCAGTTCTCAGAAACAGTTTCTGATAAGAATACACTCTTTGAGTCCCAATTTTGTTGAACAATGTTGAAATTTAGTCACATTTTTTGTCCAGAAATCTACAAATCGAGTGGACTTTTTATGCGTAAAATCGTACGAGTACTTGTTAAATATAAGCAGCTGAATGTAATTGAATGTGAAAGTCTTTCTTTGGTTGAATCTGTTTGGAAATTTCACTAAATTTTATCGGCAGCACAAAGAAAATTCAGTGAAATTTTCGGACAGCTTCGTTGAACAATTTCTCTGTAAAAAAATAAAATGGCGGAAATTTTTAAACGTCGCATGGCGCTTGTGATACTTTGCCTGGAAGGTGACGAATTGTCCCATTGCATTGATAAAACATATCGTAAGACAGAGCTGCAGTGTAAAATATCATATGTTTTACCTACTGTTATCTTTGGAGACTTAAACGACAGGATAGGAAAGTAAGCGCTCAAATCATTTCACTTTTACATGGTTTCTTACCCAGCTTCCTAGAGTACACCCCGTCTTTCCCATTCGTCTACAGTTCCGTTTAGCAGAATTGCGTCCAAATGTCATGAGGGGGTCCAAAAATGTCCGTCCCACCGCGGTCATCTTTTCCACCGTTTGATCCCTCTGTTGCCCATTCGCCGCTATGGGAAATATGGGGTGTACTCGTTAGTTCTCGGGCGGTAAGAATGAATGGGGGTTATGAGGCGCCAGTGACGTCAGCGACTACGAAGCCGTCGCCGAGCTCCTTCTTCCTCTGCTTCAACTCATGAGCCCTGCCCATAACGCTCTTGTCACATGCCCATGGCTCAAGAGTCCCGCATACAGTATAGGCACATAGTTTCGTTCGGTTAATTTACAATCCCGCTTTTCTATTTCACCATCTCACATTTACATTATTCGGCTTTTACATCATTTCTTAGCCAGCTCACCACGAGCACACCCCATCTTTCCTAGCCGCACATAGTTCTGTTCAACGGGCTGATTCTTAAAATTGATAGACAAAGAGGACATAGGGAGTATGGAGCGATCCTATTGGTTGAAATGCATGATTCCTATCGACTAAGGGAGAAAATGATGGACTAGAAATAGGGTCTCTCATGGGATGCTGTTAGCTAGTCTATTACCTACTTCTTTTGTCTATTGTAACCACTCGCTTCCTCCATACGGAAAAAAAACTTCGTGCGTGGGACCCGAAGTTGAGGTCATATGGATCTCTGAATTTTTTTGATCACATATCCGAAATTTGAGGTCAAGGTGCCAAAGTTCGGGTCAGACATCGAGGCACTTCGGTATGTACCGGAGTGCTTCAGATGTATGACCCGGACCCTTCGTTATATATCGAAGTACTTCAGATATCTGACCAGAACTTCGGCAGCTGGACCTCAAATTTTTCGATATGTGATCCGAAAACTTCAAAGATCCGTATAACCTCACCTTCGGGTCCCACGCACGAAGATTTTTTCTCCGTTTAGGATCCCTCCATGTCCATTTTGTCTTCTTTGTCTATAGCTTTTTGTTTACATATACGACTCCTAACCTCCACTGCTCTCTTTCAAACCACAAATCTTGGGGGATTGAGCACCTTAACATTTCCGCTTCAATCCCTTCCCTCCAACCTTTCATTGGGCGCCCTCTGCGTCTTCTCCCAGGAGGAACCTAGTCAAGGATCTTCTTCGGCAACCTGTCTCCTGCCATTCTTTGGACATGACCGTACCAAGTGAGTTGTTTTGTCATAATGTCATGCACGATGGTCTGCTTGGCATCCATGATATCCCGTACCGTCTCATTCCTGACGCGATCCTTTCTGGAAATACCAGCGGATCTACGCCAGAAGTCCATCTCTGTTGCCTCTAAAACCTCCCGGGTCCGCTGTTTCATCGCTTTTTGTTTATCAACTTCAAAAATCGGCCCGCTGTAGAAATACGTCCATCTAATGTTTCTTACTCACCAGTCTTCCAGCTTTGTTGTTGTGGAGGTTGATGCTGGACTGGATGTCGAGCGCGTTCCGCTCGCGGGCGTCGAGGAAGCGCCGGGAGAAGTCGAGTCCGTAGCGGAGGTTGTCCGAGCAGCCGGACCACTTCCACCCACCGCGGCCGCTCCGCCGGCGCCCGCTGCTCCCGCCGCGGTGCCGCTGCCTCGCGCAGCTGCAGTCGCTCAGCTGCCCGCTGCTGCAGGCCCGCGCCACCGAGGACGCCACCCCCGCCGAGGCGATCGCCTTGAAGAACGCCGAGACCGGGTAACCTGCAATCACAACACAAGGATTCAATTAGATTCATCAGCCGAAGAGAAGAATTTGCATAATTGTTTATTGCTACATCCGCATCCTGAAAACTATACTGAGTGAACTGAGCACGAGGATACCCTTGGTTCATGAATTGAACAATTATTGAAGAAGATATTACAAAAGGATCTAATCGGCAGTTATGCTGGTATGGACATGTGCAAAGAATGCCGGAGGAGAGGTTGCCCAAACAAGTTTTGGATTGGGTACCACCTGGGAAGAGGCGACGGGGACGTCCCGTAAAGGGTTGGCGGCAGGGCGTTGATGAAGAGATGTTGCGGTGTCAGTTGCCCGATAACCTCTGGGAAGACAGGCATATGTGGCGTTTGGGTGTCGTAGAACGCCAGAGTGCGTTGTAAAGCGACTTTATATATATATCTAATCTGCTAAAATACGTGTGTCTAAATGGGAAATGCCGCCAGATGACGTCACTAGGCGGTGCATTCCTCACTTTTAAATCTATTTTTATACTATTTCCCATATCAGAAAAAAATTATAAAAAATACTGTAAAATCAGCTCTTTAAGCTCTTTCTGCAGCCTGGTTGCTGAAATTTCGTGTTTGTCAGGTCGACATATATGACATGAGTTAAAAGGCGGAGTGTGATTGGTCGGCCATGTTTTATCGCTGCTTTATCTTGCTTGATCAGCAAGTTGATCCGTCGCTTCGTTCGAAAGTTATGAACCCCCCCCCCCCCCCCCCCCCCNGCCCCTCTTTGAGGGCTAGACGAGAAATGTCACCGGATTTAGGCCTCTCCGATGATCCGTTATGATTCCTGAAAGTATGGATGTAAAAGCTCTTGCGGCCATTTCCTATGGAAAACGGGACAGCCTCTTTTTATTGCTTCATCTGAAAGCGCTTAAAGAGCTAATTTCACAGTATTTTTTATAAATTTTTTCTGATATAGGAAATAGTATAAAAATATATTTAAAAGTGAGAAAATCCACCGCCAAGTGACGTCATCTGGTGGCATTTCCTATTTAAACACCTATATTTTAGCAGATTAGATTATTTTGTGATATATTCTTCAATAGTTGTTCAATTCATGAACCAAGAATATCCTTGTGTTTATTTCACTCAATAGTTGCCATTAAACACGGAATTTTAGGTGCACCGGTCAATCGATATTTTTAATGGATTTGAATAATGTGCGATAAACAGAATTGTCGACATAAAATCGCCACTGCGCTTCCTTTAAATATCATTATTTTCCCAATCTTTGCAGTATAAATTCCTTTCGGTCGACATTGTATACATCGCGCCCAACGACCCCCATAAAAGGCCTAAAGCTCCACCAATGAGAGACGAGCTCCAACATGGCAAACCTCTCTCATATAGACCCTCGCTAGAGGAGGCCATTGATACGTGCCAACTAATGCCATCTAACAGCACCGAAGTCACGTTCGGCCCGGCCAAGATGGTGCTCTCGGTTTAGCCGGGGGCTTGGTCTCGTAAAAACAGCCATAAACCGGGCTCCGGGCCTGGCCGCGCAACAAAGACGTATCTGCTTCCCGACGTGAGCCCCAGAGGCCTGATAAAGCAACCGCGGTGGGTCCCGCGTGGGAATTCGGATACGCGGGTGTTGCAGTATCATATGGCTGCGGGCCGATGGGCGGGAACTGCCAAGGCGTAAAATCGACGACAGCCAACGAGCCACGTCTCCGTGTGCTTTTCAGCGTCTCGTGCTAAACTGACCGCCATTTTGCCCACCGGAGCGGATCTTGGCCCCGGCTAAGTGTCCGGTTTCGATTTCTGCTCCGGTCGTCGTGTTCTGTCTTGCTGAGGAACAGTGCTCCCATTCCATGTCCGTCGAAAGTTCCGAGGTTCGGAACTTTTTTGTTCCAATTTCTCCCACTCCATGCGACCGTCGAAAGTTCCGGAATTCCTTGATTTCTCCTAAATTCGGAGGAAGTTCAGGAAAGTGCAAAAGATCCGGAACGTCCCGGCAATTTCAAAAGTTCCGAAACTTTTTCGTTCCAATTTCCCCCACTTCATGACCGACAAAAGTTCCGGAATTCCTTTCAGATTTTTCCTAAATTCGGAGGAAGTTCAGGAAAGTGCAAAAGATCCGGAAAGTTTGGGCAATTTCAAAAGTTCCGGGAAAATTCAGGAAAATCTCAAAAGTTCCAGAATTCGGAACTACTCCCGGGAAATGGGAGAACGACTCATGAGCCTTTGGAAATCTCTCTTGATAAAATACAAATTTTCAGGAAAATTTGTGAAAATTTCGTTTCCAATTTTTCAGAGGATTTTACTCACAATTCAATCTAATATTTGAAAATTCCAGGGAGAGACACTCGTAAATTTGCTTGAAAATAAATATTTTATCACGAGAAATCTGCCGACCTTCAAATGTTCGTGCAGAGCACACTCGACTGGATCAGTAGTAGGAGTCGGGCAAAATCTGGAAACTTCGAAAGCTTTCATTTTCAAAAGTATGAGACAAACAAGTTAAAGAGTGGTTGCATTGGTTTTTCCGTAAAAGTTCCTCTCGGAGACACGCCTTGAAATTGAATTTGTGACGGAATAAACGTCAAAATTTTCAATTTTAACCAAAAATTTCATGTCCGATCTCTTACATTAGTTCGTTCCACTAGACCTATAGACCGGGCCGAGACCTATATCTATCTATTGTGCCGCTTACGATGCCTGAATTGTGGCCCGTACGCGAGTTTTCGTAACTGTATTCTAGTATTACTAGAATTGTAGTAAGCGGTATCGTGAGCGCAATCGCGAATCATATAGCAGGATTCCAATCCTTTTTTCCCGTATTTCTCATACTTCATCATATCTTTTTATAAAAAAAGTTCAAAATTCTAAAGAACTCCAACACTCTCTTTTTGGAAACTTACTTGCTACTGCACCATCACCGGTGTTTATTTCATCACATTTTAAATTTCAAGGGGTGTTTCTGAAAGAAAATTTTTCGAGGAAACCAGGGAAATCACTCTCAGAACCTCAAAGTTTTGTATACACGTAGTTATAAGCACTGGAAAAAAACACATTGGATCTAGAATCCAGACTCTTGAAAACATTGACAAGAAAAAGGACTCTTGATTCAATCAGATTTAAGCTTAAATCAAAAGGAAATCCGCTCAAATTAAGAGGCTTGGTTCTTGATTTAAGCTTAAATCTGATTGAATCAAGGGTATTTTTTCTTGTCGATGTTTTTAAGAGTCTGGACCAAAGACATAAAGACGGAGTGCTCGTATCTAAAAGCACGGGGAAAAAGTGAAGCTAGGTTCGGCGCTGCGCGTTTGTGTGAGTGTGTAAATGAGCGCGGGAATCCATGGCGGCAAACGGAAATTTGATTTGAACTTGTCCTCTTGATTTTTCCTTATTTCTTCTTCGAAACGTGTTTTAAATGCTTAAAACGATTATATTAAGAAAGTTCGGTCTGCGTCCTAATATATTACACCTACTTTTGCTCGGTAACAGGCAGTAATCTCAGATAAAGTTAGTTTTTCTTCTGCTTATGGTGGTTCTGCAGGTTCAAACAGGCCGTTACAGTTCTAGATCTACGTTACTCCCAAATGAAATCAGTCGGTCGACGACGGACCGAAACTAACCTAAAGTTAATAAAATATGAGTGTGTACCTGAATTTGGGCAAAAATCAACCTAAAATACTTTGTTTCCGCAATTTTATTTATTAGTTCCCGCCCTACATTTGAATTCAAACTTGTCCCGATTTCGCCGCCAATCCTCTAGCCAATAGTAGAGGTGATTGAAAAGAAGCTCTAGAAGCTTCATTTTTTGCTTTTAGTGCTCCGTCTTTATGTCTTTGGTCTGGACTCTAGATCCAATGTGTTTTTTCTCCAGTGCCTATCAATGTTCTTTCTCTTTTTTTTCTTATCACGACAGAAAGAGAGCGTGCGTTGACGAAGAGCGGGTCGCAGCGCAGCGTTGCATCGGCGGGGGAAAAACAGAGCCGTATACATTTCCCATTAACTTAATAAACAGCTAATTGTTTGCTCTCACGTCGAGAAAGGGCGGGGGCGAGAGGCGAGGGGGGATGGAGGAGGGGGGGGGGGGGGTGCACCGCACGGTCGACGTAACTTCCGCATTTGTCGCGCGGTCACCTGTAATTAGCGGCCGGCGTCGACCGCGGTCAGGTGAGGACGCCGAATACGTCATCGCTCCGCTACAATGCACGTCCCCTTGACCTAATAACGCCGATCGAGTCCACTAACTCAGGCGCACGGCCGTGCTGCACTGAAAAAAGTTACGGGCTGTACGGACATACCGTCCGTTTCGGGCTTAGGGGCCGAAAGTTCCAGGTACTGGACAGTGGCGTGGCGTGGATTGGGATGTATCGATTGTTATGCCATTTAAACCTATGGTAAAGAATCGATTATTACGGTGTTCGCTGCGAACACCCTGTTTATCGATCCTTTCTCATAGGTTTAAATGGCGTAACAATCGATATATCGCAAAGCACGCCACGCCACTGGTACTGGAGCCGAAGCTTCGATTGCTCCGAGTGCTACGTCTGGAAGCTTCGGTCTCTGAACCCGGAACGCAGATAGTATGCCTATATACAGTCCGTAAGCCCGGCTTCCACGGCCGGAGTTTTTTTTTTTTGAGTGTGGGGAAAAGAACATTGTGCGGTTTTATATCGATGACCAAAGTGCAAAACTATGATTTATTATTACCATTGTCACGAAACTTCGTTTGTAAAACGCGTATTTGACTCAGTTTTTGCATAATGCACTCATTTTTTCGGAAGAAATTTATGAGCATTATTGGCCATCTTGGTTTGATATCGGTATCTGAAGATTGGCGGTGGCATTTTTCTAATGTTTTTCGAGTTAGATGGTTGGCTGCCCTTTTAGGCCATAAGAGCTTATATTTAGACATGTCTAAACTTCCCCCGTACAGATACCTTACAGAATACTATGCAAATAAAGAGGAAAAATCAAAGACAATTTTGAAGCAATCACGTTGACTACTTTCCCTGAGA